CTTCCGATCTTACATACTATCTGTACTATAATTATTTATAGATATAAAGATAAGTATTCACTTATAAAGAACTAATTAATAATTCTATACGTATAGTTTAAAAGTTGTAATATACATAATTAAATAGAGAAGAATATGATATTTTAGTACAGCAGTATAGACAAGCATTTTAATAAAATTTACTTTCAGTTTACCGCGCTTTTAACTGTCAAGCATACTTTCGATAATGTCGTTAAAATTCTTTCTACTGCATTTTTCTTTACTTTCTTCATAATAAAATATATCTCATTTGCTGTTAATATCGAAAATGTAAGTTGGTTTTTAACAGACGTTTTCGTTCTGTTTAAGTGCATATTTCTTAAAAAATATATTTGTAAGTAATATATTTGTAACTCTTTTTCAAGCAAGATATATTTTAACTGTTAGATAGTAAAATTAAATTATTGAACTGATAGGTAAAGTATTTACTGTCGCAACTTCAACATATATACAACAATCTAAAAGATGAATATGAGTATGTTATTATAGAAAAGTATAGCTACAATGCAAAATTGTACACAGTTATCCTTACAAGTAAGATAAATTTTTTACTTTTTACTATAATACAGTACAGTTTCTATTTAACACATATAACGAAAAGCAATTGGATATTTTTGTACGCAGAAATTTGTATAACAATTTCTTTCTAACTCTTTGTAGTACTAGCCGCCTGTTGCACATCTGCTTTAATTGTCGTTCAATTTTGGTCAAGTATCGCCGGCGTTATTTTATCAAGAAACATATCTCAATCTCGTTATTTACCTATTACAATGGAATATTTTATCGATCAAGAAAAACATTTCTGTTTAATTCTTTTGTACACATATACAACCCTTTGCATAGGAGTAACTGCGTTGGTAGCGATAGGATCGATGCTTATAGCATATCTTCAACATATCTGTGGAATGCTTAGCATCTCACGGTACAAAACGGACACAGAGAAGGCCTCTCGCAAAAATTCTAATTATAAGCAAAATTGTATAAATATTGGATAAATCCAACGATAAAATTTATTTTTAGAAAGCTAAAAAAATTTCTATTTGATAAACAAATATTTCTTTAGCTTTCTAAAAATAAATTTTTATTCTGAAAATAAATTGTCGTACATTCTTTATAGTTATCGTATTAATCGCGCATTGAGATTTAATATGCTGAAAAACGAGAAATTTATATTCAAAGAAATATTTCATGCTGTAGATATTCATCGACAAGCTATGAGGTTAGTATGTAAAAATTATACACACATATAATTTATATATTAATATTTATTTATATTTAAAGATTGTCTGAACTGTTGGTATCCAATTTTGAGATAATGCTGTTCTTCTTAATAATATTTGGAGTTATATCTATGAGTCTCAACCTCTTGCAAGTAAATCTTGGATTCCTAAAAAATAAATTTAAATAATATTTCATAATTTCTGGTGCTAAGAGAGGATGTGTTGTACTTTAGATAGATTAAACAGTTTCACGTATAAAGGAGGATGTTAAAAAAGGAGCGATTTTGGTGTCCCCATAGGTGTAAGTAAAAACA